AGGCAGAACAAGAACTTATGGTTTTCTGTAAGCCCCCAAACACTCTTTGACCATGAGTTGAAAGTAGAAGGGTCGGTCCTGTGTCAGATGCCCCTGGTGTCTCGACATCCTGAGAGCTGTCACAAGGGGCTACAGCACAGAGCGCCTGCTGGTACCCGCCGTGTTGCCCAAGCTGTCTTTGGAGGCTGGGAGGGATAAACATTTCTACAGTCTGGTCTCTGTTAAATGCTGTAGGGAGGGGAGGCAGTGACATGTTAGAGAATGGAGAGCAGCTACAATACAGCTGAGCATTCAAGCGGGAAGCAGAAATGGAGAGTGGAGAAAGTCCCAGATCTGATACTATCAGACCATAAAAAAAAATCCAATATTTCCAACTTGTAGAAGTTTGTTTTGTGAGATTCCATGTCCTTCTAGCCTCCGTGTGCCGCTCCGTCAGTCTCACATTTCCCCAGCCTCTTTTTGCTTTCCAGGAAGCTCTGGTGGCCTAGTCTATAGGGATTTTGTTTTTAAGCCAAACGACTCACTTGTGATTTGAGTCCATCACTGGCTCCATAGGAGAAATATGGGCAATTCCTCTTATGGGATTTGTAGCCTCAGAAACCCATTGGAGGGTCAACTATGAGTGAGTTCGACTTGATGGCAATGAATAAGTGGGTTTTTTTGGGTGTTGATTTCTTTTTTGGGGTTTTTTTTTTGGTTGGTTCCCCCCCCTTTCTGGAAACTTCCTGGGTGAAATATCCTATCCAGACAATTATATGCTGCCTTGAGCATTTCTTCTCAAACTGTGTCCTCTGTCAGCCTTCTGTCCTTGTCACACGCCTTGATCATCTGAGGCACTGGCCCCAATACTGGGTTCAGAGCAAATACTCAAGTGATGCTTGATGAATGAATGAAAGCATGAAGGAACTGACCGACAGTGGGGTGAACAGAGACATCCAAAGAGACTCTCCATGCATGCTTTGATCAGGATACAAACCTGGTATTAACTACTTTCATGTTGAACATCTTTCAAATGGTCAAGTGAATCATTTCTGACCGTTTAACAGTGGGGGCGCTTCAAATTCCTTACACTAGGAGTTAATGTACTCCCAGGAGGATTTATCTACCTCGTCATGAAGACTCATAGAAGGTAGGATTCTATAGTCATGGCTGACTTTCTCTGAGGATGTATTTTGTCAAGGACTATCTGGCTAATAGAAGTACTGAGGCCTGTCTGAGCTTTCCCACACAGCAGAGAACCCCACTGAGGCCATGCGACTCCAGGCAGGGTGGGTGAGGGAGGGCCTCTGGGGTCAGTAGCATCAAAGCTGTGAGAAGAACCTTAAAGACAGGAGGGGTGCTGTCTCTACAGCTAGACAGCCAGGCCAGTGTGGGTCTGCTTAGCTTTATTCTGTTCTCTGAGACGCTCTCAGATAGGCTGGACCCACTGGCCAGATCTGTTAGGAGACTCTTAAGGGGCTTCAGGTGCCAGGTTCCAATTTTTTTTTTAAATGACATTAGTACTACGGAACCAAGACTAAAGCAAATGTGTGAAGTGTTATAGACATCTGCAGCTGTCCTCATGGATTATATGCTCCCCACCCCATTCTGGGGCATCTTCCGTCATCATCTGGACAAGGATGTATATTGAAATTCACGAAGGGCATGCTCGTTGGCACCGTCCTTGCCACCATCTGCGAGTTACCTAATGGAACTCCAGATGCCTGGCTGGGGCTGCACGCACTTTTCAAGGCAGGATTTTGCTTCTCGAATCAGAGGTCTTCACAGTCCTTTCTCAGAAATTGCAGCTATTTTATCTTATATTTGTATGCCATTAAAATGGTTACCTTTTCTTAAACACTTTCAGAAGTGTTTAGAAAGCATAGAAGGTTATTACAAACTAGTGTTTTTATTACTGCCCCATAGAACAAATTCCATTACTCAGTTAAATGTAATCAGCCCCTCCAGCCAAGGCTCCGGAGCCGAACGTTTTGTCTGGATGAGTTAGACACTCGATCTGGAGCCTGCGGAGAAGCGGGTGAGCTAGTGTGAGCAGCTGAGGATGGAAAGCTCTGGGGCCCATGAATGGGCTTGGGAGTACAGAGTGTGTGTGTGTGTGTGTGTGTGTGTGTGTGTGTGTGTGTGTGTGTGTGTGTGTGTGTGTG